CAAAGGTTTTTTGTTTTTTTTTTTAAAGTCAGCTCTTAGCACCAAAATCTACTTCAAGTTCTCCACAAGGACCACTCTCCCCTTTCCAGTAAGTCACTCCCCAGCCCTCATAAGATTACCGTGCCCTGGGACAGCACTGTATGCTCCCCTGGGGTCCAGTATCAAGGGTGGATCTTCATTCTCCTTCACCTTCAAAGCTCTCCCTCCTCCCAGTAGCTCCAAGCACAAGGCCCTCTTTCCCTTCTCTGTCAACATCCTGAAAAGGTTCTGCTCCTTGTCATGCCCAGACCTTTCTAATTCCCTTCATCCTCTAGAATCTTCCTAGTCCTTGACCTCTTCTGACTTCCCAGGGCATCTAACACTGACCCCATCCCAAATTCAAGACCACTGAACCCGGATTCTCTTCCTTGTTCTCCTGCATCTTCACAGCTTTGCTCCTGGCCTCATGCCCCCAAATAGGTGCTCTCCACAGTTTTGGGCTCAAGCTTATTCCTGGGTCTTCCCTTGCTCCCATCCCCTGGACCCTCTGAGACACCACTACAACCTCCAATGTTCCAAATGTTAAAAAGATCCCCAGCATACATATATCTGTAGATCATCCCCTTCACACTTTCCTGTACTGGTTTCCAAACCCCATCCCACAAACATCAGTCCTCTTATCTCTCACTCTCTTTCAAATAAATCAAATACATACACTTCAATCCTGCACCATCCCTAGCCTGGTTTTTGGGCACCCAGTTTTCCCCCAGAAAGTGACTGAATTCAACAAGTATCAAGCACCTGTGCTAACTGTGCAGTGTTTAAAACAGACAACCAAGAATTAAGTTACATGGCCAATCATCATACAGTTGGTAAGAACTCAGACAAAATATAATGGACAGCACAGATGATAAGGGTAAGAACAAGGTGGCAGGAGTGGGGCAGGAAGAAGAAACAGCCATTGCAAATGCCAGCAGCAGGAGAGCACAGAGACCAGTGTGGCTACAGTCAACTGAACCAAGGGCCCGGGAGGTGACAGAAGGTCCCTGCCTTTAGTCTGACTTCAGTCTGAGAGGAAGAGCTACTGGAGGTTTCTGAGCAGAAAAGTTTACAAAGTAATTTCAGTCTGTACATATTCCTCCACATTCTTTCAGAGAAGAGACTGCTGAGAGGCAATGGGAAATAGTCCTCCATTGGGAGGCTGTAAAATGACACAGGGCCGTGAACATACCTGCCTTGAATCTACCTATCAGGCTCAAGCTCACCTTCCTAAATGCAAGTCTGACCCTGACATGTCACCGCATCCCCTCTGCGGGAATGTTCCATGGCTCCCACGACCTTCATGACTATCTAGTGCCATCTGATGCATGATCACTGGGGTCGCACCATGTCCTACTACCCCTTCGTAAACACCCTGACCTCCAAACGAGCGAGATCACCTGCTATTTCCCTGACACACTGCCACAAGCCTGTGATACCTGCCTCTGCCCTCGGAAAAGTTATTAATCCATCCGTTAGGGCTAAGCCCAAACACCAGTTCCTCAGGAGGCCTTTCTTGGCTGCCCCCTAAACTGCATATTGCTTGCACCTCAACAAGAGCACCCTTTCATCTGTTCTGGGTTAGAGTTTCCAGAGACTGGTAACTCAAGGGCAGGACTGTGCCCGACCTATCTAGGAACACACATGGGGCCAAGCACAGAGCCAGGCATATAGTAAATGTTCAATTAATGCATGCTGGCTAAGTGAACAAAATGTTCATCTGATTATACACCGACTTGAGGTCTTAGGGGGAGGTGGTCCTAAGGACGGGTTTTCTCTCTCAGCCACTGTAATCTGGAAGACTGGGGTCCTGATGGGGGGTATTGGGGGGCTGCACTCCTGACAATGGTACAGTCACAAGTAGGGGCCACAGTGAGGATGGACTTGAACCCAAACCTTCAAAGCCTCATGCCCTCTCAGCCAGATATATCTCTAGGCATGCCCACCCCACACAATCCATTTTAAACTTGCCTAAAGCATCAGCAATATGTTTTTCCTAAGCCTATTCTAGAGGTGTACAGATATAGAGAAAAGAACCTAGAAGGACCCAAACCAAGTTAAGAGCAGTTACAGTGTTATTTTCCTTTACCTTACCTTGATTTTTCCCCCCTAAATAAACACCATAAGAAAAAAAGTCTTTTAGAAATAATGCCACAGGACGACCTGAGTTACAGTTAAAGAATGGCTCCAAAAACAGAAAGTATCCAAAAAGCCCACCAAAACCCTGGGAACATGAGACCACTGAATACATACTACTGCTTACAGTATATTTAAGCTGCAAATGTTTTAAAAGGTTTGTCTGAGCATGCAATGGTCTGAGCCTAACAACTGGCCCTGTGCTTTCACTTCTGAAATAATTATTTCACAAAACACTGTGGATACCCCAGCCAACATTCCCTCTTATTTAAACTCTTCCATAGATTTCATAATCAAGTGTGAACTGTCACCACTGCATCCTAGCTTATACTTATAAGCATCCTAGCTTATAGCTTATATACTTGCAGGAGACAGCGACTGATTGGCTCTAAACAGGACATTTCAATGACTGTCATTTCATGACTTACAAAGAAAATGTCAATTAAAGATAATAGGAGGGGCACCTGTGTGCTCAGTCTGACTTGATTTCTGCTTGAGACTCACTCTCCCCCTTTCCCTCTGCCCCACTCTCTGCAAGCACTTGCCCTCTCTCTCTCCAAAATAAGTAAATAATTTTAAAAAATAAATAATAGGAGATCAGTTATCGAGACATAATATGTCTTATTTAAGCTGAAAGCTACATCAACAATGAATCAACAAAGACTTGGCTTCTAACTTTCAGCAAAAGACCAACATAACTTTAATAAAGAGTGAAATAGCATATTAAAACAAGGAAGAGATAATTGCCTTAGTTACCACTTTTTTCAAAAGATTTATTTATTTATTCTGAAAGAGAGAGACAACACATGCATGAGTTGGAGGAGGGGGCAAAGAAAGAGAATCTCAAGCAGACTCCCTGTCGAGTGGGGCTCCATCTCACGACCCATGATATCATGACCTGAGCTGAAACCAAGAGTTAGACGCTAAACCGACTGAGCCCCCCAGGCATCCCTTTAGTTAGTTAGCACCTTTGTAAAGAAATAAAAGGGGGACAAGGAAACCGCATTTCAAGCACAGTGCTAGATAATCTTCCTAGTAAATCTGAGATAAGAATTTCATCTTCCCCATTTCACAAATGAAGAAATTGAGGCTCAGAGAGGTTAAGTAACTTAGTCACAGTAACCACAGTCACATAGTGGCAAAAACCAACTCAAAAACAGGTCTGTTTCACAAGACTATACACGGTATGATTCTGTAATTCCACTTCTATTAGGTTCAAGAGCAGGCAAAACCAGTATGTATGAAAGGAGTCACATCTAAGATAATATGAAACTTCCCTCTACTGGGTGGATATTGACTAGAAGGGGCACAGGCACCTTCTGGGGTACGGAAAATGTTTAATTCTGGACCGGGATGGTGGATAGACATTCAGGAGCCACACACAACATTAGAGCACTTCACACTTTACTGTATGCTATAGCTCAAGTTAAAGAAAAAAAACTTCCTCATCAGATAGACTCCAAGTTCATACTCTTAACCGCTAAACCACCACTCTGACAGAACCTGGCCACACTCTAGAACTGATTCCCTCGGATAATATTTTTTAAAAGTATTCTGGGAAGCGACGTACATCCTAATCACATCAGAGTGAAAACACTGGAACAATAAACCTGTTTTTAAATGCCACAGAATGAAAAGTAGAAAGTATCAACTTCCTGGCTGCTGGGAATTTCCCCTCTGTAGCCACATCAGAATACAATTTTAAACCCTGCTCTAAGGGAATGTTCACAGATGCACAGAAAATAATTGTAACATCTATGGAAACACCTAAAACTAAAATCACACAAAATATTTCAAGACATGGTATAACTTTATCAACAATGTTCTCAAAAGAAATTTGAATTTTGGGGCACCTGGCCGGCTCAGTCAGTAGGGCATGAGACTCTTGATCTCAGGGTTCTGAGTTTAAGCTCCACGTTAGGCATAGCGTCTACTTAAAAAAAAAAAAAAAAAAAAAAAAATTAAAGGAAATTTGAACTCTGTTACAAAAATTTAAAAAGTCAAGGAGACAAAGCTGATGGGCAAAGAACATAAAGTTCACAGCAGTGGCAACATACAATACATGCAAAATCTGAGCTCAGAGTTTTAACATACAGAAAACTGGTACAATTAACTTTTTCCAGCAGTAATGTAATTGTACCACATATGCCCGAATAACAAATTCTCTGTCAAGTACAAGTTCTTCCCACCGAAGTTCTGTTCAGACTAGCAAAGCCTCATCACCAGGTGATGATGAAATCATTACATCAATTTTCTTAAAGTCTTATACCACATACATTATACCTCTTATTCGAACGGTAATTGCCTCTCCAGAGAGAGGAATTTATTCATCCTACAATTTGCAGACATCTTTGGCAAGCACCTAGTTAACAGTTATCCCACCTTGAGGAGGAGTATGAGGGAGGAAAGAGCTGTTCCTACACACCTGTTGGCTGTATGTGCTGTGGTTCTTCCTGGGTACTTTTGATGTTCAGCCAGGAAACCCAACTTTCAAATTGTCAGAGCCCAGTTTAATTCATGTTTTAACGTTCTGTATACACTAAAATTGCCAGGCAATTGATTGCAATGATTTTAGTTCCCTCTGAGCATCTCCATAGAAGACCCAAAGGCCTTTATGAGAATTTTCCAGTATTTATAACTTAGACACTACAACTGGGCATGTTGCAATAGATTATATAACCAAGTATTATCCCAGGTGCAAGAATCTTAATGTTTATAAAAGTAACCATTGGCATTTATTAATTGTCAAAGTCTTTAACAAACTGTCCAATAAAACTGTTCAAAAAACTAAGTAAAGTCAAATATTGTGGCTATTAAGCAAGTTAGAAAGAATGAAAAGCACTGACCCAGTATGTTAAGAACAGAATACGCATCAGGCACATTCACAGCACTGGTCCGGATCCCTGAATTATGGTTCAAAAACAAACAAAAAACAAAACAAAACAAAACAAACCAGCATTACCAGAAAACATAAAAACTTGAAGTTTCAAAGTTTCTTTAAGAAACAATGGATTCATCTTTTTTCATATCCTGCATCAGCTAAAAAGCGTCATACATTTCTATCCAGAACATCCTAGCTTTGTACCAACAACACATCATGTAAAGCAGAATGATCCTTTTTTTTTTTTTAAGATTCTCTTCATTTCCTAATATAACTCCCTTTTTTCCAACGCATCTCTAAAAAAGGCACACATTTGGGGACATCCGGGTAGCTCAGTCTGTTAAGTGTTTGCCTTCGGCTCAAGTCATGATCCCAAGGTCCTGGGATGGAGTCCTCCGTTTGTCCGTCCAGCAGTGAGTCAGTCATTCAGTCCATTGGTTCACAAACTGGCAGGTTGTCTGCTCAGCAGGGAGTCTACTTCTCTCTCTCCCTCCCCCTGCTTGTGCTTCCTCTCTCATTCTCTCTCTCCCCAATAAAATAAAATTTAAAAAATAATAATAATAATAAATTAAAATTAAAAAGGCACACATTTGAACAAATTGTATCATGAAAAATCAACCATGAATTATCAGTTCCACTTTCCTATTTCAGCAAAACTGCAGTATCTTAGAATTGGAGAAAGCTAAATTGTGTTTTTTTAACAAGGAACTCTTCAAAACTGTAAGCCATTACTCAGCTATCCATCAGAAACCCAGGAAAAAAATCATTAATTGTTACAAGCATATTATGCTTATTTTCATGAAAAGGTTACTTCATTTCTTGGATTTTAAAAACTTTATCTGCATCTGCCAAATCTGCCTGATTTCAGTCTCAGTCAGACCAGTCTAAATGGTTCCCAGTTACTGTTTTTGGTAAAGGGAAGTCGATGCCTAGAGGAACTTCCATACTGATTACACAATGACCACCACTCATTAAGTGCTTCTTAATTCCCATGATGCAGAGCCAGGAGTTTCACAAACATTATCCTATTTGTCCTCAAAAACAATCCTGCAGAGCAGGCGCTTCCAAAACCCGCTATGGAAAATCCGGCTGGAATGATCAACCTGCCCGAGGTCACAGAATCATATGTGGCAGATTCAAGACCAGTGAACAGTGAGGGTGGTAACTTGGAACTTTTATGCAGAATCAGGCCTTTCATCAACACACATGAAATTAAGAGCAGTGAGCCCCTGCTGTTGGGAGATGGCCAAGGGGAAAGCAGTATTTCAAACTGAACAAGTTATTTCAAACGTTAGAGCCAAAGATACAGACATTCACAAAGCTGGGCAGGAGGATAGGTTTACCCCTGTAGAGAATTCTATAGTGTTCTGTACTTCCCTGGTCTTAAAATCTAATCTAAGAGACCAGGGACTGTGTGTGTAACACTCTCCCAAATTCCACCAGGCTTAATAACCTCTATTCAAAAGAAAGAGAAGTGAAAACTAGGGCAGTGGGAAGAAATGATCGCCCAAGCCTGTCCTCCCACCAGGGTAAGCTGTCAGATCCGCATGGGCGCAAACAGGAGACAGCTGGGCTCCGGAGCCCTCAGACTGGGTTAGGCTCGGATCTCCCCCCACCCCCCGCACCCCGCCTTCCTGCTCCCGTACCTGACCCTGTTGACCACCTCCCGAAGCAAAATACACCAGAAGAATTTGTTGTAACAAGTAGACGCCCATATTCACCAACTGGTTTGGCAATCTACCATCTACAGCAAGGCTCCAACAAGGGAGGGGCAGAAGAATATGGTATAATTGTTCAAAACTATCTTTCTACGAAATTGGGAAGGTTCACGAGGCATGAGTGATAGGGGAGCAAAGACAAACACCCCATCCCTGAGTTTTAAGCAGGAGAGGGAGCCTCCTCGCCACCAGGGCTTACAATGTATTAATCTCAGAGAGAAGCTTTCATGCTCTGACACTCGTAGGGAGATAATGGGTTCTGGGGCTCCCCGGTCCTAAATGAAAAATACCGTGGCCTGGATATTAAGGTGACTTGATTTTACTACCTCCAGGAGGGTCCGCCTGCCGTTCCGGGGCAGCCTCCAGGATCTCCGCCCTCGGGGTCCCACCGAGCGCCCCCACGCCCACCCTTCCAGCGAGGTGTTTGGCCAAGGCCTGCCTCACCGGCTCCGGGCAGCACCCACCCATCCCCCTCCCCAGGTCTCAGACAAGCAGCCTAGTTAATCATTCAACGCCGGCGGCGTGAAACAATTTTTTAGAGGTCAACGAGAAAGGTTCTCCCTAAGTTTCACAGAAACCAGCTTTTGGGGACCCGGAGGTGGCAGCGGTAGGCAGATGGGGGTGGGGAGCGGCGGCGGGCGGCTCTTTGGCTCACAAAACACCTGATCTCCCCATGCGGCAACCGAGACCAGCGCAGTGCCAGGGTGGGGTGACAGGGTGCGAGTGAGAAATCACACACGGCCCCCTCCCCAAAACGCCCGTGGAAGCCAGGTGAGGACGTCGGCCCCAGACGCCCCTTCCCAAAGCCTACATCACCCCCGCGCGGGCTCCCCCGGAAGTTGGGGTGCAGCGAGGAGGGGGGGATGTCCCAGGGCCCCGTGGGGGTGGGGGGTGAAACAGGACAAGAGACTAAAAAGACATGCTGCTCCTGGTTTCGCTATCCTCTTCCTCCAGTGTAAGGAAGCCGGAGGGAAGGGGGGACGCCTAAATGCGGCGGGAGCCACCCAGGCACGGCTTCCTCCTGTGGCGCGCCGGTACGAAGCCGGAACCGGCGAGGAACGGGACTGCGAGGGAGAGGAGTCAGTGCGGAGCAGGGGGAAGCGCGAAGCAGAGATGGAAAGGAGGTGGCGCGGGCTGGGGGAGACGCTGGGGTAGGGGAAGAGGGGCGAGAGGGGGCGCGAGCGCACACCCGCCCCGGCCCTACCTTGTCCGGGAGCAGCTCCTGCTCAGCGGGGCGGGGGCGGGAGATCCCGGCCGCATCCACGTCCCGGCCGCTCGGCGCGGCTCAGCCCGGCGACCGCCGCCGCTCCCGCTCCATACGTTGCTCCGCGACGGGCGGCCCGGGGATGTCGGCGGCGGGGAAGTCACCGGCACCGCTTGTCTCCAGCACTTGTTGCCGCCACCACCACTGCGACTCTCACTCCCGGCTCCAGCTCCCGGCGCCGCCGCCGCCGCCGCCTCTGGGCGCCCGAGTCCGGCCCCGCCTTCGCCCCCGCCCGGCGCGCCAATCAGGCCCGGCACCACCCCTCACGTCACCGCCCAGCCGGGCCCGCAGCCTGGCGCCCCAAGTTTGGGGAAGGCCGAGCTCCAGCCTGTCTGCCAGTTGGCGCCGGAGATTCGCCCAGGCTGGTGCTCCTCCTAGCTTCCAGAGACCCTCCGGGGCCTCCAGGTCCACACGTGGAAAGTAAAGGGTTAAATTGGGGGAAGGGGCCCCCAGGAAGTAGACCTCCTCGGAAGAACAGGACAGTTCGACCCTATTCCAACCCCGGTCTAACTGAAATCTCTCCAATTGCAGGTCGCCCCTCTTGCGGTGCGCCTAATGTTGGGGTACTAAGCCTATAGCCTGGGTAGGACTCCAGTGACCTTTTCCAGCCAGAACCAGTTTGTAACTGGGCCTAGACTGGACCACAGCCGGCGTTCCAGTGCTTGGGTGTGTGCACCCCTGCAAAACCCGGAGTTCCACTGGAGAAGGGGGAACCAGGGCCAGAGTGGGACTTGACCATTGCTCTCTGCCCACCCAATACTTGCCACCATCTCTTAGATCCCCCAAATAACGCCCTAGAGCCCAAGGCCTACACTGGTGCCCTACTTGGCACTGCCACCCGATCTTCGAATTTGTGAAGCTGCCCAGGAACTGGTGAGGGGGAAGTTTTAGTTCTGCTCCTTGTGGTGTCTTAGAATTTCCTCGAGGTTCCACGCGCGTCTTGGAAGCCAGAAATGCAAGGTGTCCAGACGCTGCGCCTTCAACCCGCGCCGCCACCCAGAGGGGCAGGGCAGACACCTAGGAGCTGAGCTCTGACACACACCTTTGGCTCCCCACTACGGGTGAGGACTTGGCATCTACGACACCCGCCGGCCGAAACACCTGGAACCACAGACGCACCCTCAGCCCAGCGCCCCTGCTGGCTCGCCAGAGCACTGCATTCTAAGGTGAGACCCTGACTCTGGACCCAAGTTTGGGGGCCCCAGGTAAGCCTAGCGCAACCGGATGGGGAGGTTGCGCAGGTCTGAAAGGCTGGGCGCAGCCTGCTTGTCACGCGCGTGCTCCGTGGGGAGGCAAGTTTGGCCCGAGGCCCATCACAAAACACCTCCGTCTGTTGGTCCTTATCTCTTCAGGAAGAAAGAGATCCCCTTTACGTGACCAGACCGACCAGACCCGGCAATTAAGGACACTCCACCTTCAAATATGTGCATTTTTCAGAAGGCTTTCTGAGGAGGAATTAGCCGAAGGGGAAAGAAATGTAAATGTAGGGATTTCGGGCACCTAGGAGTTCAGCCTTTTCGACTTTGGGCCCTTACTCTGATCCAAGCTCCGAGCAAAAGAGTATCTTGCAGCTGGATGCACTGAGCCACGTGGGTACATGCTTTTAGAAACAGGAATTCGGAGTCAGACCTGGGAAAATTTTTATTTTCAGGCTTCAGACCTTTTTGCTTTTATGTTGATCCCATGATTCTCCTAAGACTGAAAACATGAAAGTTCAAGACACAAGTTGGATTTTGTATATTCATAGAAAAATAAAAAGGATGCACACTGACTGCTAACCATGGGTATCCCAAGTGTGGGCTTGGAGTGTGGGAAGGAGGGAGATGAATTTTACACCCTTATACTGACTCTGCATTTTGTATTTTTCCAGTTATATTAACTGTCACAATTTAGAAAGTTAATAAAACATTTTTTAAGAAATATAGAAATTAAAAATTCTTCAAGAACTCTGGAGAAAGTATAAATTAATAAACAAACCTCTGCTTTCATTCTACATCAAAGTAATTATTCCTGAGTCCATGTTCCTTGGTTTAAATAAAGATATCTCTAGGCTGCTGTTCTGATTAAATGCTGTGGTGGGGCAAGACTGACATCTGAAGATTTTTCTGTGCTGTCAGATTGACATACTGTTTCTATGCCCGTGTGTCTTCCCTTTAAATGGGTACCCGGTAGCCACAGACATACCTTCAGCTGCCTGCCAAGGAGTTTTTAGTAAAGGAACTCCTACAGTGTAAGTTGGGATCCAACAAGGAAGTTAAGCTTGTGTCCTTTGTATCTGCCCAGGCCCCAAAATTTAAAAATAAGGGCATTTTTCCATCCTGCCATTAATTAATGCAGCTGGGAGTGTATTTGTAACAGTTAACACTGTTCCTTTGGGGGAATTACTCAACACTAAGTTCCACACCCACTTAGCTGTAGTCTTTACTCTTGGGTTGGGGCCTGGGTCCATCATCAGTAGGTAAAGATGTATTACTTATTTATTTAACAAATATGTGTTGACACTGGAGTGGTGACCATGACAGACAAACTCTTCCCTCTTGGAGCTCAGAGTTTAGCTGGAGAGAGACAGCTTCACAATTCAATGCACTGTCAATTATATAACTGACAATTGCAGAAGTTCACGGTGGTAGGACCATTTGGGGGAGTCCAGGAGGAGGTGACATTTGAGTTGAGCTCTGAAGGGTGAGCAGGACTTACTCAGGCAAAGAGATGAGTGGAACAGAGTTCTGGCTGGTTTATACTGCAAGGGGGATGTGGTTGAGGGAGAAGTTGGAGAGGTAAGCAGGGGCTGCATTTTGCAGAGCCTAGAATACCATTTTCTATAAGATCACTCTGACCAGATGTGAAGAAGGAAAAGGGTAGAGGGAAAATGGGGATTGAGGGATAATTAGGAGGCAGTTGCTAAAATATAAATGAAAGGGCTGTTTATCTAAGTGGTAAAGCAAATGGAGAGAAGAATACCAGCAGGATTTGGTGATTGCTTAATTAGGGAGGAATCAAGGAAAACTCCCAGTTCTCTGTTTCTTCAACCAGAGGGACAGTGGTGCCATTTTCTCAGTTGGGGGACTCTCAGGGAAGAGAATTGAGAAAACCTTCCCAAGGTTCACATTTGGTCAAGGTGGGTCTGAGGTGCCTGTGAGGTGTCCAAGTGAAGATGTTGAGTAGGTTGTTGTTTGTAGGGTTCTGTTCTCTGAGGGGAGGCTGAAACAGAAGTAGTAAGTAGCGGTGGTAATAAAGCCAGGAGAATAAGGTGGTCTCCCAGGAGAGTATAGAGCTTGACCGGAAGAGGGCCTAGAACTTATCTAAAGGCTGGACAGAGGCAAACTACTGGCAGATGAAGTGGAGCAGTTGCCAGAGAGGTAGGAAGAAAATTAGGAGCTTGGGGAGGTAGGGATTTCCCAGGGAAAGAACATATAATAAGGAGGCAGTAGTCAACAACACTCAAAATGGCTGAGAGACCCAAGGGAAATGAGGACTAAACAGCCACTAGATTGACTGACCTTGGTGTCACTGGGAGTTTCACGGAGCAGTGACTCGTACAGTGAAGGGCAAAGAGATAGACTATAGTGGATTGAGGAGTGAGTGAGAGGTGAAGAAATGAAGAAAGGTACTTCATGCAGACAGAAAAGTTTGAAGGGTCAGAGAGAAAAACAGCTGGAGAGGAAATGTTATGTCAGCAGTGGGTTTAGGATAGAATAACTTGAGTGTATTTAAATGCCCATATGGAGGATCCTATAGAGAAGAGGAAGATGAAGGTATAGCAGTGAGAGAACAATAGACAATAAAGTTTCCTGTGACCATGGGAGAGGACAGAACCAGAGTATGGGTGGAAAGGCTAACCTCATGCAGGAGGCTACCTCCTCTATTATAATGGGAGGGAGGAAGTTAGAGGAGGACTGAAGTAGGCAGGTTTGGTGTGGGACATAGAATCCTTCCACAGGATAACTTTCTTTTGCTCTGTGACACACAGGAGGCTGGGGTTGGGGCAGGGAGAGCTGACAGATTTGAAGAGAGTGGAGAAGGTGTGACAGAGTCATCAGATTTGAAGAGAGTGGAGAAGGTGTGACAGAGTCATTGCAGAAAGTGGGCAGGTTGGGAGGTGGCAAGATGATAAGGCAGCATGGCAAGGCAGCATGCAACCCACTTGAGGTTGGTGGTGTGAACTTATAAGGTACCCTTTGGCTCTCCTGTGTGATTTCCTCCAGCAGAGCTCAGGTGTCTGCTCTGGTGCAGGCTCAGGTGGGAAGAGGAGCAAATTCCTTTTGCCAAGGAATTGAGAACCTTGGCAAAAGTGAGGTTGACATGATGAATGATAAGAGAGAAAGGACAGAAATCAATGGGCTAGAGGTGTCAAAGGAGTCAATGTTTAGTCGTGTTGGAAGAAGAGGAGGTTGCTGACTTGGGTCAGCAGTCTGGATGCTTAAGTTAGTGGTTCAGGAGGTGGAGAGCTTTAGATCATGGTGAAGCTAGGATACGATAGGGGAGAGTAGAGGAGAAAGTCACTAGAGAATATGAGGCCACCAAGGGACTGAGAGGCAGGGTATTGGATAGGTCATCCGTGTGGGCAGTGAAGCCACCCAGGAAGATCTGGGCAGGAATTAAAGTCAGGGTCATAGTGTGAAGGTTATGGATCTGGGAGCTAAAGTCATAAGAAAGTGAAGAAGGAGGAGGAACCAGGAGGTCGGAAGATGGGAACCACCAGAAAGGAAGAGGAAATATGGCTAGCAGTGGTCTCCTCAAGAGTGGAGGAATAAGAGTGTTTACAAGAGGTGGAGGAGAAATAATCAGAGAAAGAGGACTAACCCCACCTCTGGGCCCTGGGGGACACACAGATGAAATAGTGAGCACCTTCATCTCCTAGAGCTTCAGGGAAAGCAAAGAAGGTGGGATTTCATTCTGAGTAGAGCTTAAAGATATATGGAAGGGTGGATGGAGCAACCTTCAATTCGGTTTGCTTGTTGAAGTCTACAGTCCCAGAGGATTACATAAAAAGATTTGGAGGGTGGGAGTGAGTAGAGGTGGGAGGTCAGATGCCAGGAAAAGCAAAGGATTGTGCCGGATGATGGCTAGAGGATCCATGAGAGAATGATAATGGAAAGAGAAATGAGTGGTCTCTATGAAGCCCGACCCCATAGCTCTATAAGCCAGAGCAACA